CACAAGATAAAGAGTAATAATTATAATATTTTTTTATAAAAAAATAAAATTTTAAATTAAAAAGATAATAATAACTTTTAAATTTAAAATAAATTAATAAAAATTTAACATATAATATTTATAATTAAAATAAAAATAAATTTCTTCACTTTTAATATAAAAAGTGATAATTATTAATCATTAATTAATCGATCATTAATCTTTAATCTTTATCATGTGTCTTAAATGCACAAGATAGATAAATCCATAATATTATTAAGTTTTATAGTTTTAACATGGTTAATACGATGAATCAATGTGTACTTGTTTGCATTGCATCAAGATGGTGTATGAAATAAATACACTGGTCCTTGCTTGTGAATTTCTCAATATTGAAGTATAAATAATCATTAAGAATTCATTAATTACTCGTTAATTTTTTTGTCATTTTTTCTTTTGAACATGTTAACAAGGAGTCGAGTCGAACTCAAGCCCAAAGCCCAAAGAGAGGGGAAAGTGTATTATGAGATGGCTAATGCCACTTGACCTACGGGGTTTGATGCAATTTTTTGTCATTTTTTTAACAAAAGTAGACTTAAAAACGCATCAATCAATGAAGTTAATATAAAGTCTTTTCCTTCTAGAAAATCAATGCATGAAAATGCTTTACAGGTGGTAGAGTTTAAATTAGCGATTTATTTATTTTAATTTTAAATTTTGAGTTTAATGAAGAGAAATTCATGAGAATAGGGAAAAATGATCTTTTTATATAATTTATTAGCAGATAGATAAAAAATAAGATTTGTTTAATTTGTGTCCATAAAAAGTTTTAAATGCATTCTTTATGCGTTAATTTACATAAAAAATAAAAAAAATTAATATTAATTTTATCATTTATAACACATATTTTATTATCAACTTTTAATTTTATTGTCAACTTTTAATTTTATTATTATGTGTATTAATAATAGAAAAACCCAAAAAAATAAAAGAAAAGAAAAATGCTAGTTTCGGCTGTGTTTAATTTGGCAAGGTACCTCACCGTGCCACGCACATACCTATCCTTAGTGCTTAATTTGACATAAGATTTCAATTCTTCGGTGTTTCATGCGGTAGTTATTCAATGAGTTATGGATCTAAGGTCCAAATTTGGCTTCCGCATGGAGGGCAGGGCAAAGGAAAAGGAAAATGTTAATTTCGGCTGTGTAAGTTTCGCCTATTTTGCTATTTGCTTCAAAATAATTGTTATTTATTAATTTTTAAATTTATTTTAAATTTATTTTAAATTGATTATTTTATTTTATTTTTTAAGGTAAATAAATAATTTTTTCTCTTTTAATTTTATTATTATTTATTTGTTTTGATTAATTATTATACAACAAAACATTTTAGACTTTTACTTTATTTTTTATTTTTTTTTCTAAAAGTAATATAAATAAATAT